CCCCGCCTCGACACTTTTTACTCTGATATTCCTGCCCCTTGTGAAGCCCAAAGTCAACTAAAGGGCTAATGATAACTATCAAAAACGCCTGTCATTTAAAATAAATAAATCATAACAGTCTGGACATAAACTCAAATACCTTTAAATAATTGCCTCAATCAAATTAATAAACTATTTCCTTTAATCAGCTCAGTATCCGTAATTGGAGTTTAGAGAACCTTTAACGAACTGGTTATGCGCCAATGACGGAGACAGTCCTGCCAACGGTCACAATAGTAATGTCAATTGGTACGCATTTCATTTTGGCGACCAGCAACTCTACTAATTTTAACCAACACGTGAGATGGCAGAATTTGAGCGGCTTCTTGTTTCTACCCCCTAAATCAAGGTAAAAACACTTTCAAATTGGCTTGGGTCCCATCGCACTCCATTTAGCGGTTGTTCATTTAAAATGAATTAAATTAGAGGAACATTATTTGACCCTTCCAAGTTAAACACTTTGTAGCTCCTTTCAATAATATAAATAGGTCAAATGTGATACCAGACGTTAAATTCCAATAGCAACGAGGTGGCGTTTTGCACTTGTAGCATGACCAAGTGTGCTCTAAAATTAAGGCTAAGTTTCCAGAGGGTCAACATTAATGTACTCCATGACAGATCTCCCTAATATTCTACTTGTTTCAAAAATTGTCTTTATTGAGAGCAAACAAAAGAAAGTACGCTGACTTAAAACAAAACCGACTGATAGGCTTGAATTCTTCCATCTCAATTTACTCAACAAGAGCGTTTCTTTACAAAAAAACATATAGATAATGTCAATTTGTATAAGTTTCGCCATATAAAAAGCCCAATTGATCCCTTTGCCTTTAAAATGACCTATCACAATGTCAGTTCTGTCAATGGTGCACACTAAAGTTGCAACGGGCCCCGTCAGTGGAAGTATTTTAGAAGCTCATCCTGTCAAACTCGTGCAAAATGAATTATTATCCGATCAAAATGAAGTATTTTGAGGAATAGGATTAACCATTGACTCAACATTAATAATTAAATGAAGCACTGAAACAAATGATTGGAGGCAATATCTGGGAAAAATTTTAGAAGATCAGTAAATGAGCGCCATCTTGAGTGTGGAACTGGCTGTTTAGTCCCGATTTTTCGTCCAATGACCAAGCACTGAAGAGAAATAATTTGACTGTGTAATTTAAAATAGAATTAAAACAACGAAATGGGAACTTTGTTTCTGCATATTTGAATTTCCTCAAGTTTATTGATCATTATCTTTCGCCGTTTTCTGAGTATACCACACTGATTTTAAACTCAATTGAATATTTAATTAAGCAGTTCAATCGATCTTTATTTTCTCTTGGAAAAAAACTCAAGAATATTACTATCCAATGAAGGTTGTTATGGAACTGAACTTCGACCAAAGTATGGCATTAACTTCCAAGTTATAGAAGTGGTTTAAGTATTTTTCGAAACCAAGTTATGGCTACCAAGCCAAGGGAGTGATCAAACGTAGTAATTAGGTCGGTGCAAAAAAAGTTAATAGAATTTAATTTCTTCAAAAAGTTTACGAGTCATGGGCTATTCATGACAATATCAAAGTGAAATTAACGCACAATTTCTAACCGCACAAGGTTAAGGATTTATTTAAACCTTTATAAATTTTTTGCGTTTTGGGGCTAGCAACGACCAGTTAGTAAATTATATACAAAATAGGGATAATTACCAAGTATTCGATGAAATGTAGTGTTTTGTATTCTGGCATTAAACCAGAAGTGAAAGAAAGGTAGGACTGTTCCAGTTAATCAGGAGAAACTTAATGCCGTTAAGCATCCAAATCGTGCTGTTCAACCGAAAATTCAATTGCTAGAATATTCTATTGCCTTAATAAACCACAAACCCCTTAGGGAATAAAACACGACTTGACAAATCCGTGGCCGCGACTTTTTTCCTCCTAAACCGCAGCTGACTCATCCACATTGCCAACATTTTGACTACCTTATCACAACTCTGATTAATCCTTGTTGTTAAGGCCTCTTAAGGCATTTTATTATTAGATATGAATAAAAGTCGTCTCATCTCTGTAGCGATCTACTAAACGCATATCTTAGCTCCATCAGATGAGTTCTTTATTTTCCGTTCAATAGACTATCCAAGGAAGCAAAACAGTCAAGTCGGGAGAGACAAATTCAGACTACTTACCAGATCTCCTGTTTTCAAGCACTCTGTTCCGACATTCATTTCTCACTCTTTCATTTTTTTGCCTTATTGTTTCGAATATACCGACGGTCATCAGATTTGCGAAGATAAACTGTTTCCCATTTTTCTTGAAAGGAATATCTCCAAGCCTAAGGATAGTTTAACTAACCGGATTTAATGTCATTTTAAAACCAGAAGTCTAGAAGGGGAGCAAAGTGAGGCCATAGGGCTCAGTAGCATCAGATATTTCTTAGCTAACGGAGTGTTCAGTAAAGTGTGGAACTAGCATATGAAGAGTACAACCGAATTCATGCACCTGAATGTTCAGATTTAGTTAGATAACCACATTTGAATCGATATCACTCATGGAAAACAGTGCACATGAATACAGCATCCTCAGTTAAATAAGCCCACACTAACATTTGGGCGAAGGTCAGAGTTTATGGAAGAGTTGATTTACCGAAAGTACTCGAGAGAGTCTTCATGCCCACCACTAAAAACAGAGATAAAGCAAGACCAAGGCCAACAGTTCCGGGAAAACGGATAAAAAATAAGAGACTTATTTAATTTTTGATGTTAAAAATATTAAAATACTTGTAGAACATGTTCAAACGACACGAATCTGTACAGAAAAATATTTAAATACACACGAATGCCAGCAAAGAACTCAAATCAAGGATACTAAAAGATTAATTTGTAGACAATGTTATGGCGATATCACGATTGATATCTTTCTTCCTGAGATTTTTTCAAAGATGATCGCAGCCAATAAATAAGGAATAAATAGCCTATAGGCACAGCAGCCTAAAAAAAGAATGCATGAAGAAATAAAAGACTTACACTACTGACATCTCCAAGAACTATATGACAATAAGATGTAAGGAACATCATGCACATTAAACCCATACATGAAATATTTTGAGATCGAATGGTTCCTGCAGCAAGAGCCGTGCCAAATATAAGTTCTAAAACGCCGGAAGTTTGCATATAAATTTGAGGATTTGGTTTGAATCCAAGAACACGAATGGGAGATACGTCAGAGAAGATTTTAAAGGCTTTTAACTAAGTTTAATGTTCAAATAATTTTAACAGCCTTACCAGTTCTCGATAAAGAGAGGAATTAAACCTTATAGTTTTGAATGAACCAGACGCAATAAATAAGACACCCAAAACTACACTGGAAACTTGAGCGCCTATTCTCGAAGCCATAACAATTTACCCAAGTTGAAAAGCTGGGCTTAAGTTTAATTGGATAGAGAGGCTATAAGATGAATAAAATGGAAAGCTTAAACAAGTATATTTTAAAATGGTTTTAAAATAGCAAAAATTTTAATGCACATAATTAATTATCGAAAACATATTTTGCTAATATTTAATGCAGTTTGTTTTGCTTAGAGTTGCAACTTTTAACTTGACCGATTAGGCAAAATATCATAAAACACTGTCACTGAACATTTTACTTCTATAAGAATAATGCAGTAAACTTCGTTTGCGTTGCGAAATATATATCCATATATTGCTGTCTGAAGAAAATTTTCAAGAGCCTCGTAAATGCCATTAAAATATGAATTTCCCGAAACAATGCTGTCAATCATTCAAAATTAATTAGTATTTGATTTTACGTACAACTGAATTTATTGGCCCATTCGTTATTCATTTTCTCTAAAGTACGAAATTATTATCATTAGCTACATTCTTTTTTGGTAAAAGCATTTTCCCAGAAGCCAAAGCGATACATTCCAGGAGACAACGAATTACGCGAGCCTCATTATTTAAACCCGCTTAGCCGATTCATGCTATCGGGCTATTATATTTGCGTCATATTTACAATGCGATTAACATTAACGCAATAATTTTTATATCTCATGACTAAAGAGCATTAAATATTTCATCGTGATTTTTATTAAAATGGAAAACTTGAGTGATTCTCACTACAGATTATTTTAAAATATTGCCTCTACCAGATAAAAGTTTCATATGAGGTAATTTACTCGTCCACGTTGTAGAAACATTTAAAGTTGTTTTGCATAAATCTTTTCACTCAAATTGGCAGTTTGGTTATTCAAAAATATTAATGGAGGTGTGAAAATGGTGTTGAAGTGAAAAGGCATTTTAGGAAGGAATTTTAAATAAAGCCTTCAACGCGAGTTAATATCTTTCGAATTAGAGATTAGTTTGAGGCTGATGGAACTGTTGAGAACTTTCACAAATAGCATTTCGGAAGACCACGAGCGTCAACAAATCCTACACAGGAAGAAAAGGGATTGGAGGGTTTTCATCGAAATAATATTAAAATTCTAATTGAATTCCACCTCTACAATTAGTTTCAAAGTGTATGCATTTTTATGGGACACCCTGTATATAATGTACAATAAGAATAAATTGCGAAACGTAAATGAAGAGACTGCTCAATTGGTAATTAAAGTAGCGAGAAGCGGTCCTGTCACGTTTATGCGTATTTGTACTTAAATTGTAGTTGTCACTCGGTGACAACGGCGTTCAGATACGACAAACAGTCTATAAAAGCAATTTTTAATCAATACATTGGAGTGGACTTCCCAACCATTCCCGATCTGAATTACCGACAAGACTTGATAAGTGTTTGCGCTGTTGGTTCAGCTAAACTTAATGCGCAAGAATAGGACGTTTTCTCGGGATATTGCAAGAACTCGATGACTTGATTGACGTATTCTCACCTCTCGGAATCGACTTATTCTTCTATGCTTTTATGTGGCCCGGTCCTCACTCTAATCTATTGCAACTCAGACATAGTAAAAACCGATTAACAAAAAAATGAAGATACCCAGGAGGGCAGTACGATATAGTAAAAACCGATTAACAAAATTCAAGAATGCTTGGCTTTAACAGAGCAAAGCAATAAGCTCTGAGTTTTCATTTGTCACAAAACTTCAATCTAATTTCAGTAGATACGGAAGGAGTAACCTTGCATTTTGTAATAAAATCCCAAATTCCTCCCCAGTAATTTTTATATAAAGGCTTTCAAACGAGTAATTTTCCTAAAAAAATGAAGATACCCAGGAGGTTAGTACGATAGTCGTAGAGCAGAAACTTTTATATTGCTGGACTCTTTTTGATTAACTGATTAACGAATGAAGTGGATCACATTAAAGACCCAGCACACACTTAGGAAGATTTAATCAATAACAACTGATAACTTTTTAACAATCGGAGAATTGCACAAAAGCTGGTATTTCCAGAACCTCCTCAAAAGCAAACTACCGGCCTTACTCGACAATGAACACGAGCTTCAAATGTTCGATTCGGTTTAAAAAAGTACCACAAGTTGTCAATCAAGCATTGTATTTATAAATTTTTGAAGATTGAAAAAAGGGTCGTTGATAAACATCTTAATTAGACTAATAATGTTGATGTTGTTCCTAATTCTTGAAGATAGGGCTCTAAAGCAGGAGTAACCTCTTCTCTCAAAAACTCATCGACCTAAAATAGAAAAAAAGCATAAAAATAAACTACAGAATCCGGTAATGGCCCATTTCAGTAGACAGTGACCTGATTTGATGCACAGCCAATGAAAGACGAAGGGTCAAGTATTTCAGCCAACTTATTGGCAATAGGAGCGAAGTAAGTGTCACCCATTAGTCGAGATACTAGATCATTGGGAAGTCCTTCCAGCTTGACAGCATTGCCAGCAGCCTGACTATGCTCACGAATGCGTTCGTGACATTCCTGACGATTAGCTCCAGCCTCTCTTACCATTAAGATGAGAATACGTTCTGTTGCCAGGAATGGCAGCTCAGCCTGAAGATTGCGTTCTATCACCTAGGGGATAAGCAAAAGAACGTGTTTTATTTTATGGCCATCTCACCTGCGTCACCAAATGTTAAGTACAAAATAACAGCAGACAGATTAAAATAGCCTCAAGTATGTTTGAACTGCAAGCTAAAGAAACATTCAAAAACCTCAAACTGAAGACAATATCTCGAATTGTAATAGAGAAGAGGTAAGTATAGAGGAAATGCAACCAAAAGAAAAAAGGCATCTAAATGGTTCATAAATAAATGGCACCATGGAATTAACTCACTTTCTAATTTTCTAGGCCGATCACCAGGAAGGTACATAGTCTGCACGGGAACACAATACATTCTGGTCAGATATGGATATAATATTGGGGAAAACATAAGATGTTCCGAAGAGAATAAGTCTGGTTTAACTTATAGATCAATTACAAGTGACCCGATAGACAATCTAAGTACGTGGTACTTCATCGTGATAATCGACCAAATACAAGGGTGAGTTAAAAAAGCTTCCAGATAAATTCCATAATTTATTTAACAAGCGATTACATTCATTTTCTACATAAACTCCAATGTTGTTTATACACATTTTTATCAATATTGCCACCTGCGAAATTGTCTCATGGTAGAAACTTGGGAGGCGTCTCTGTCACCATGAAATCACATGTTTTTTTCGCAACATTTGAAGATATAAATCGAGTGCCTTTAAGGCGTCCTCTTATTCTTAGAAACAATCAGGTTTGAAGGAGATATGTCTGGACTATACGGCGGATGTGGACGTAAATCCCAACAAAATTCGAAACAGAGCCCTAGCAGCTCTTGATGAATGTGTACAAATATTGCCACGAAGAAAAAAAATGTGGATGTGTAATTTCCCGCGTCAATTTTTGGTGAGAGAAGTACTCAAATGCTTCGAAACGGCTTTATCATAACTTCTAAAACGTCTATTTATCACATCACACCTTGTGAAATCAAAAGTGGTGGCCATGACCATCTTAATGCACATTTAAGCATTGAATCTGAGGGGTCAAGATGCTTCATTTGGATGCAAATTTTTTATTGAAATTTGTCTTCCACATCAAATTGGTAGAACCGGGTTGTATCTCTGGTATGACAACGTTTATAAAAATTGTCTTCACCTTAGCAAAATTAATAAACTCTTTGGGTTAGTTGTTGTTCCGGGAAAGCTTTTGGAACCCAAAGTACACTATGAGAGCTTGCTCAAGCCTGTGAGAATTGAAAATGTTATCGTAACTCATCCAACTTGTTCCCACACTTGGTTCTTGATTTATTACTGTGGTGAATGTACCTCCTCATGAGTCGTCAAGAAGTTGCTCACTTTCCTCCTTTAAGCGTTCAATCCAATCATAAATTACTACTTAACATGTTATAATGCTTCTATGATCGGAACAGGTTTCCAATTAAATTTAGTTAAAAGTTTTAAGTTAGCTCATATTTCAAAAGTTAGTGTTTGTAGGACTAGGAAATGGTAGCTATTTTGAGATGTAACCTGTCTTGATCCTGATCCTACACAAAATAAGCTGGCAATCGCATTTTATTAAGGCAGCTCTAAAGAGATATTTGAACTTGTAAACCTTTGCTCTATTTAAATTAAAGCTATTTGTCTGAGAACCTAATTTGATTCACCTTCGTATCAAACACTCATTAATCAGACAACGTAATCGCAACAACATTTGCACCTTAGGAAAAATTTAAAGCTTTTCATTAAAACGTCAGCGATTACTTTAGTACTATTCATTCGTGTAGGCCAATGAAATAAGCGAACAACATAGCGATAGCCAATCCATATGCATCTGGATTAATTAAATCAACTTAGAGAGTAAACAGGGAGCATTACAGAGCAGTCAAAGGAAAATTTGAGGACTTAAAACGCGGCTGGATATTACTGTCCAAATACAATTAGGAGGGATTTTGACAGTACCGATTTGAGTGAAGAGGCTTAACTGCTGAAATAGTCACCTTGTTAGCATACAACCCAAACTACGCTTGAAAATGGAACTATCGACTGGCAATACATGGCAAAGCATGGGTGTTTGAAAAATTAAAATCCAATAATCACAAATTCCAGATAAGTCCACCCATACACTAGCCTTTGTTCAACTTCCGAAATAAAAAGCAGAATTATCATTTTGGTAACTACTAGGTCTCTTTCATCAACTTTGAAAACCATAGGTTGATAAAATTCAAAACAAGGTCCATTTGAAATACTAATTATTTGTCAAAGGGAAGAAATATTCCTACATTTTATTCCAAATATCCATGAACTTAGGCGAGCATTATTCTTATAGATATTAAGCCTAGTGCATAAATAAAGCCAGGTAAGAAAAACGGAGCCTACAATAAGGGGGGCCAATTCACCTTAGGATAGACAACAAGGCCCTCGAAGATGTTTTGAAGAATGACCAAACAAGCATCGGCAGCAAGACAAGCCTCTGCTAAAGTGATGCGTCGAATAGCCGAATCATCCAGTGAGCGCTCGCACCACTGTACACCAGCAGTGCTCAAGGCAGAAACACACTGAGACTGCAAGAAACGAGCCAGGGCACATGCTCGCTCACAGCGGATCGGATTGCGTTTATAGGGCATCGCGGAGGAACCAATCTAGGGGAGAAAGGAAAAAAGCTTAGATAGTACTTAGAAAAAGGCACTGAACAAAGAGGACGCAGAATGTGTGGTTGCCCGTCAAAGATAAATCAAATTATTGGTTATATGTAGTTATAAACAGCCAACGGAGCAACAGAGCTCAATGACAGCAGCCCACTCAGAAGGCCCTGGTGCTAAAATAATAACCTTGGGGCTGTAGACTGTACTGTGTTTTGACTTCCTCTGAACTGTTCTGGCCCCTCATGAAGACCCATTTCTTAACTATGACCCCAGTGCATATCACACCACTAGTACACTCCAGTTAAATTGGGAACTTTGGACACGACGCGTGATCACAAACACTTAAAAGATTTCAGACAATCTAGAAATAAGACAGACCAACCTAATTTAATGCATGAAGACTGGGATAGTTTTCACGGAATATCTAGTGTAATAGTAATAATAACATTTCCACATTATCTAAAATTAGTGTTAAAAGAAGCTTTCTATCAACGAATGTCTGACGGGTTGACAGCAACTGCGCTGTTGATCATCTTTTCTTTGTTCAGGCATACAGATCAGGGCATTTTTGTTAAGACTATCAGTATAATTTAAGATAATCCGTGACTAAGTCTTCCCCTATAGTGCTCAAAAATCTTTTTCAAAAAATAGATTTATTTTTCTAGGTAAAATTCCGTGTAGATAATTAAAAAAAGGAATTTGGTAGGTGAGTAACCTACTTGGGTGGATTCAAATGGTTCATCCATCTCCTTAAGACCTGAAAGAAGACGAACGTCGGTGCAGATTTTGTGAATGGTTGATCCAAGACTGGATAGAATACACATTAGGTCGGCATCGAGTTTACGCGGATAGGTTTGACCGGTTACATTCCAGATGAGCTTGAATCCTGCCTTATTAGCAACCATCTTGTCCAATTGCTTTACCTATAAACCAGGCATACGAACATGGAAAGAACTTATTAACAAAGTAAGTCCATAAATGTTCTGAAGGGTAACCTATCGAAAAAGCAGGTGCAGCATAATGATATTTGAAAGCGCGAAAACAATCTTCACTCAGAAGTTCACACTTCACTCTAACCAATTACCCTATGAACTTAAAGCATCTTGAAAATACAAAATATGATAAAATTCCGATAAGGGATAATAGATCACATCGTTCGGCTTAGAAAATTCCATAAAAGCTTCTACGACGGCTTGTGATCGAACGAGCTAAATTATCAAGAATAGACTTATTTAAAAGAAATCCTATTTAACTTTCGGCTTGGCTATCACATATCAGGATCAATAACAATCATGGAGATCATTCAGAAAAGTGTAACAAGTTAATTTCTTACGCCACACTGTTGCCAAAGGACTATCAGCACTAAACACTAACCTTTTAAGTCATGACAGATAATTGGGTTCCTACAATTGCATACTATGGATAAAATAAATGAATACTGAATGTTAATTTGCACGCGTGATGTAGAGTTAAGACTAATTAACATTTGTGAGTGTCAATTTGCATTTGCCTCACAGCACAGTGAAGGAATTTCCTAACGCAAGAATAATGGGCGTGTTTGTTTATAACACATAAGGAACAACATTGAAGATAAATTAAATGAATAGCATCATAGTATAAATCAAACATTAAATTAATGGCCAACGTTCAGGCGTTAATTATATGTGTGAAATTGGGTAGAGCAAGACACTAAACGATAGTGCGAGAAATGAACAGTTATTCCAAACGAATGCCACAAGCGCCAGATATGAGGGGTGTTGTGAAGAGCGTCTAGACAAAGAAATGACAAAAGCGATTTTAAGTGACGTCAGACAATTGTGTTCCAAACAGGTTCGCATGACTTTCGACCTTAGAACTGGTGTGAGCATCATTAGCTACCTTTGAACTTAATGATTATAAGCCTTTCAACATCATTAGCAAAGTATTTGCCAATCACGAGAGAGCTAGGATGTGCATCATGAACTCTCAATAAATCCTGTGTTCAATTTTGTGAAAATAGGACTCTTCGAGACCAGAACCAAAAGAATTTTACAGGAAAATCTTCGGTTATTTCATGCAGATGTGATAAAGGCGTTTAGGCAAACCACATTAAAACCCTTCTTCATTCATATAGGCGATAACAAAGAGAATGGATGACTGAAATCCACTTAATCAGGGAAAAGAAAAATTTTCCCCTATTTAGACATATGTCATCAAAACAAGGAGATCAGCGCTTCCACAGAATGAACTAGGAAATTGCAAGTGACAACTAGGCTGCCATTGCTAGAAGAAAGCGACCGTCATAGTCTACGGAGGCGTGTTCAGCGTCGCATTTTCTTGAAGAGGGACTAGGGTCAAATTCAGATGCCTAAGAGGAATTACCGATCACCGCACTTAAGCTCTAGATAACGAAGGTAGGCTTATTTTGAGTAAAACACTTTCACGAAGGAGTAAATGCTTTGTCCGTCGGATTTCTTTCAAATCTAATAAATTTTAAGGTAACCAACTGTTTTTCCTTTATCTGATGAGACTGCCAAATTTTTCTCGAACACCATTTCCTTGGTGTACTTGCCTAACATTAATTTGCATTTCCTTAGAAGCCTTCAACATGCCAAGCTAATTAATTAGTAGGCGTAAGTGATTATTCGAAATGTCTCAGCAAATGCTTATTAATGGAACTAAATTTCAAATCTTAGCGGATTACATAGACTTCCATCAGTGCAAGATCTAATGCTATGCTAAAGATCCCTCTTTATAGAAAATATTTGAACCGAGTCATTTGGAACATAGAAGAGACATCTAATGCCGTTTACTATGTTCCAGAACAGCTTTGGTTCACATAATCTTAATAAAATCATATTGGTGATAGTGGAAGAAACGTCATTCTTAGGCCAGCAAAAGTGAGCACTATTTCTAAACATAGAACGATATTTCCTCGAATTACTGGTCTTACAGCAAAGCTCACCAGTTCTATGGACATTCAAGTACGGAAACCACGTTGTGCAATTGATAGTCATTCACTTTCACAAAGAATATGTCCTCCAAATGCCATTGATGTCACTGTGCCAAAAAGGAAGCTCGGTCAGCTCTTTCTCCCTTACTGACGTAAATGCTGATTACTTCAGCATTCATCTAGAAACAGGGCATAGGGATTTGGCGCTAAGAACACTTATTACAGAGTTACAGTAAGTTGGTATCAGGTAACGGTCCTCTCTTCTTAACATGTTCAGATAGAAATGAATTAGATGCAAGACCTTTCGAAGTTTGATTCAGTGTCAGGTTTATTTTATATCTAAACAGTTATGTAATGTTTAAACTCTCGTTAGATCGTGCTGATCGATAGTAAATAGGTCAGTTCATAAGAATATGAGATTACCAAAAATGACTTGGTTCCAAATTGCACCTTGTTCAAGTGATCAGCAGCAGAACTCTTTAAAGCACGATGCCTGCTTTTGAGTTAATTAATAGACAACATCTGTGCAACCACATCCCAATTCAATTGCAAGAATATCTTCCATTTTTAAATAGAACCAAGTTCATTTTATTTCTACACCAGTAACTTGACGATTGTAATGACATGGCTTGAAAAACATTATTGTGCCAATGTTTTTCATACGTAGCGACATTAACGTGAACATTAATCACTCAAGATGTCTGTTAACAGTCGAGATTGCTAATTGGGGGAAGTTTTACTAATTACACACGTATGGGTTTGACAATCAAGCATTATATTAAGAAAATTTACCTTATCTTCATTTCCTTCGAACAGATCGCAGAATGACGACTGAGTACCAACGGTTCCCTTGACTCCTCTAAATCGAATCAAGCGATTCTGTGCACGCTCGAAATTCTCCAAATCCAAAAGGAGATCCTGAATCCAAAGGCACATTCGTCGTCCCACGGTTGTTGGTTGAGCAGGCTGGAAGTGAGTGCGAGATAGACAGACTAGATCACGGTGTTGCTTAGCCAGTTTGGCAAGACGATCGATGCATCTGGCGACTTTGGGTGCTAAGAGAGCGAAGGCATCTCGAAGAGTTATTAAATCGGCGTTGTCACCGACGTAGCACGAAGTTGCGCCTTTGGAAGGTAAACAATAAAGTCCCATTATTTTTATCTAATTCAAATTGTTCGGTCGAACAACTGATTTGACAAATAAAATATCCAATTATTTGACCATTTTCAGAATTAAAACGTAAATTCGACTATTCACACTATTTCCTAGCCTACGCGGATTCAGGAGTATTTCATTCTTAAGTCAATTAAATAGTTACAACCCGCTTGCTGCCCTACTTTGCCATAGTCTACGCAGAAGCGTTTTATACGCTTCTGAGGATGTTTAATCTATTAACTTAAGTGCAACTGTGCGCATAACAAACTTATCAACTATTCAGTAGGCGGAATTTCATTAGCACATGTATGCTAGAGTGGAAATGGAAGTTAATGTAAGGCTACACGATGCTTAGTGAGAGAAAGTCATACTAGTTTACCATTAAACGATTCATTCCACCTCGTAAATATGTAAACCAATAATTATTTTAAATATACTAAACAAAATATGTGAGGATGGCCGTCAATTTTCAATAGTTTACAAATTTTTCACCTTCTGCCTTCTCAAATTCATATGATTGAACTCGTAAAAATTAGACTCCCATCAAGATTATACCAAAATATGAGTAAATGAATTATCATGGTGATAAGGTCGTAGTACTCCCATTCCTTCAAGTCCTTTCAAGTTAAATGGAAGAAAAAAGCCACGACAGCGAAGCAGAGGGTTACTAAGAGGAGAATATCGCAAAAAAATTGTGGATAATAGAAAGTGAATGAAGGCTAAAAAAGTGCATGAACTCCAATAATATGAGAAATTACAGAGTTGATTTGATTAAGAAACAAAGTTACGGAGGGAGAAACCGCTATATACAGTGGTCTTAAAAACGCCAAAAAATATGACCAGGGAAGAAATTCAAGATTCTGCTACTAAACGATAGATTATAATTAAATCGACAGGTGAAATTAGACTACTAAATAAAATGCTAAAATAGAGATTCGAACTAAAAGCAGAGGAAAAACTCACCCATAAAGAAAAGATACGAGCCATTTCATTTTCTTAAAAATTGTCATAAGGAATTGACGAAATAATTAGTCTAGACTGGTTTTATTTGATTCAAAGACCGAAAGAAGGATTATTGTCTTGACAAAGAAGAAAAAAAGATAAATGGATAAAGGCACCTGCCGCTTTGATGGACATCACTCAATAGTGGGGGATAAAGTGTACGAACAAATATGAGGCCACTTAGCCTTCATTTGTTAAAATGGTGAATTATGATGCACATGGCTTCTGTGACCAACTTGACTCCAGTTAGCTTACAGAAGATAGAAAAGAGGTAAAATTCATTTGAAAACAAATTAAAAAATCTCAAACATTGAAAGGTAATTTCAGTACGAAGTGGAGACTGCAACTTGGAGTAAAAAATAGTAGCAAAAGGAAAGAGTTTATCGAATAAAAATGGGTGGATAGGAATAAAGTGTTGCTAAAATAACAAATTGAGCTTATTAACAATTAATGCAGAAATTGGGAACAAAGTCATTAGTTGAAACAGGAGATTTAAATAAAAAATGTTATAAAATAATCAAAGGCTAAATTGGAATTGGCATATGACTTCTTACTGAAGGTCATTTTGAGGCATTCATTGAAACTTTCCATCAGAAAATGTCCCTGCTCCGTATAATATCAACCATTTATAGCAAGCCAGTAAGTTTTAGCTTTTGCCAACTAGATATTGCACCACATCAGTACGTAACAAGAGACTAAAATTCATCCTTTTAATCACTTAAAGATGATTTATTATCACCAGACACATAAGAAACTGATATTTATTTAAAAGAAACCCCCAATTTCTAGTTTATAGTTCCAGTAAAATACCACAATGATCAAAGCTGCTAGCCAAAATTAAGGGAACAATTTAACACGGCATCGGAACAAAAATCAAGTGAGATAGCTCCAATAACTAAGATAAAAAACAAAATTTAAGTATGGAAGATGTATGAATAAGTAATTTTGAAAATTAATTAAGCTTACATTGTTAATTTAGGTTATTTAAGTCCCTTTAAAAATAGAAATGCCCTTAAGTCAAGGATTAAAATACCTACCAAGGTGAATAATAGGAGCAGCTTTAGGACAAGTAGCAGAAAATGTATAAACATGCGCCATTACATCATGTCGTCTATGTCTCTCTTCTTCAGCCGCACGTTCAAAATCAATATTATCGATATTGCTTCGCATCTCCTCGATTTGCTCATCTAAGAGATGTTAAGAATTAAAATACTATAAAGTTCAAAATATGTGAAAATAAAAAACTTAAATCTGTAACAACCAAATTACTAGTAATTTCGATGCCCAATTCCTTTTCTGACTCAGCTAGCCATATCCAAAGCTGACGCCATAACTGAATTTTCCGTTTTGTGCTGAAATTGAAGTTCATTTCTTTGCTAGCATATCTATCACTGAGGGAACACCTAGAAAATTTCACATTCAAAAAGAAAAACATGCCTATATTCATCATACGGTACAACCATAGTAAGATAGCGTTATTAGTTCGAAATTACGGCAATTTCTAAGTTTATCTAAACCATTAAAACAAATTAATTACCAAATATAATTTCGAAAAACAGCTTTTAAGTAAAAGATTTAAAATGAGATACAATGGTGTGACTAAAGCATAGTTTCATTAAATTAATATGTCAACACAAAATACTTATCATTTACATAAATAAATATGGTAACGTAAGTATACTATGGTCTATGTTAGTATGCCTTCATTTGTTCAGAAATGGCTCAATAGTAATAGAAAAACTATGTGATTTAACTTTAACGAAATCCAGTCAAATTGAATTGAAAATTAATATAGAGGTAATATTTCCAGATGTAAGTTGACTTTGATGAAAATATATAACATTCAGAACTAAAATACGAATATATATATATATATATATATATATATATATTAATTGCAGGTTAAAATTAGATTAGGGAACTGCATTTCTAGTGATCTTTTTTTAGCGCTTTTAAATAAACCTAAAACTTATGTGTTATCGTTCCATTCTTGAGGATTACAAATTACAGCTGTAAGATCTGTCTCATCTGAAACATTTCGCATCCCAAGATATTCAATAAAATTTATATTCTAAGCCTAGCTGTTTTAAGCATGTATCAGTTCAATGCACCTCCACACATATTTATCGTTAGACATTTGCTTATTAAGCTCAGTATAATTTGAAGGTATTTTCTAAAATAAGTTTTTTACTTCGCTAAAGTTTTTAGCAAACATGAGAAATCTATTGTCGTTCTCATCATGTCAAATTCCAAAACTCCTTTCGCGTCCGAACAGCAATGCTTCGATTTGTGCTAGTCTTTCCAAAATAAATCTAAGCCTCCAAATTTGTCCTTTGATGTTAAATTTAGATCCTTAAATGATTAATAGTATTTCAGGAATACTCTGATCAACAAAATTTTATATTATTTCCCATGCTTAAAACTAATCAAATGCCCACATCGTGTTCAAAATAATGCTTTTTCGATCGATAGAATCTTAATTAAGAGTTCAACACCTAACATTGGTTGAGCAATTGGTAATGTTTCATAAAAATCCCTTAGTGACCAGTCCAACTTTACCAATAAACTTCCACTTTTGTCTTTACTCTTATATACCAAGACCACTTATATAAATGTACTCTGGATCGATGCTAAAACCCACTAAAAGTTATTGAAAAGTTTAACCAAGCCGGTGCCTCAACCTCTTGCAGTGAATATGGTTCTAACACAGCCATTTATTAAGTGATGTTACCTAAAACTGTAAATTGAATATTTAGTTCTTTTTTTCACCGCGAAATATAAAATAGAGACCTGGTCTTTTTAATTTTCATTGGCTTATTCCCCATATTTCAGTTTCCGTATTTGCTCGGTATTGTTATATTTGAATAGAATGTTCAGACCTTTTGCTTTTAACCAAAAGCACTTGTAGTGAATACTAGGCGAATAAGCTTTGACGATCATCTTGGAACGTTAACTAACTGAAGACAAGCACAACAATCTTCTAGCAGCATTCTCAGTTTCAAATTTTTCTCAACAAAGTCAGTTAGATAATATGCGCAGTAGTATGAACACAGAAAGGATAGAGTTAAGGACATTTATTTCAAATAAATGGCGAACTGCAAAATATTATTAGTAATTAAATATTCATTAAGCATATTTTGCATGCGCATTTAAAAATTGATTGGCAGAGAAGTTTTCGATTTCAAAATCTCACATGATCGAAACACTATCGATAGTACGATCTCACTAAACAGAGTATTTGGCGAATTACTACAATAACAGACTTGACTTATGCTCAGTAATTTCTTCGGAAAGAATTTCCTGCTTGCAATCGTTTTTCAGGATTTGCCAACCTACCTCGACAATAAAGAGGAAGCAGGTGAATACCCCGTTGTACGTTTATTTGTGATGTATGTAGCTACCTAGGAGTTTAGCCATCGTAGACATTTCCATATCCTGACTATTGATGGTTGAATGGCCTGAACTTGTGACCTCACTTGCCTTCCAGTGCGATCAACACGTTTCAAAACGTTTGAGCGCAATGGGTTCTTTGCTTCAGCCATGTTCACGTTGCATTTCCAATAAATTGTTCATAAAAGTTGTGGTCAAGAAATAAGCACTTCTATTACATTAAGATTATCAACCTAACTAAAGTAAAATAAACTGTGCGATTATCATTTGTCTAGATTCCTAATGTAATTTATATGGAAAATAATTAAATCTCCATATACTGACAAGATTATTAAATAAATTTTTATTATATTTCTTTAGAGCATGAATACAGCCAATTGTCCTCAGCATTAGACGTCTTTTCATCTGGTAACAAACATTGTTTATGCATTATGTATCTCCTTTTGCTACACTTATAAGCCTTGACACATACTCAGTAGTCTCTATGAGAAGATCTACTGGTTTTGAATGACTCGAAATAAGTAGTATGACGAAGCCCTAAATCGAGGTTAAGGAGCTTTAGGCCGTAGGTGCAAATCTTCGTATTGATAGCGAAGGAAGGGAAAAGCCGGTTGATTCTAGACAATGTTTTTTCTTCAGAACGCGGGATAATGCTGATTTCGGAATTGGTTTCACCATATATTTAAGTTTGGAATTTCCGTCAATGACATATAGGAAGCGGCTATGGTAATAGCTAGGATCAGTCGCCGCACTTACTTTTTGACATGGACTTTTTCCCCAAGAGGTGCTCGTTTTCGGTTTTAGGAAATTTACAACCAGGCTGACATTTCCTGGCCTCGTCTCCTTAGGTTCTGTGATGATATCAGATCTAGTTACGATGTTTTTTTGGTCGGTTGAGATGAAAAGAGGAATTCGGTTTGAACAGTTCTAGTTTCTCTAGCCGCTCAGTGATGACGTCAAGTTGATGTGAGGTGGCACCAATGGGGTCTGAAGTTCCCACTGCGTTGACATCCACAATTTTTTTTATAAATTTCGTCATAAACTCATAATCGCTAGCTTAGAAACGCATGTGGAATAAATGTTGAGAAGTAGTGCTATTCCCAATTCCCGCTTGAAATAGAATTGGTGCAGCCGTTTCTCTCGGGAAAGAGAAAGGCGACTGATAACAGTTTTTTTGAGTAGATCATAGCAGCTATTCTCCGGTGGCTTGGAGTTGATGTCCGTGGCTTATGATGCGACGTTGCCTGGTAATGCGATGTTAACATGCCGAAGAAGCATTTATCGTTTGGTAACGCCTCGCATTTGGCATACTTCCTTGTCGTAAGAACCAGATATAAGGGTATTCTGGGTCATGGGTGGGATAACCAGGAGGGAAACCCAATGGCTTCACGCCGAAATATGCTTCCTGAGACATTCTGAGGGAATAGGACCGGACGAAAGGAGAGAGTGGAGAAAATGATGATTGGGTAGAAAGAGGATCACCAAGGGCGATGTGCAATTTTAGCAGATCAGGCCAGGATTGGGAGATCACGTCAGGGCCATCAATTGTATTGAGGATTGCTACACTATCAAGCCTTGACTATAATCAGCAATATTTATGTCATATTCACCTATGTTTGGAAAGGCTCTTAGAACTAGTTAAGTAACCACAGAGCTATAAAAGAAACAGATGTGTAATGTGAAATACATTTATTAGGGGTGTGTATTATTTTGGTGTCCTTTACAAAAGGAGAGCTTAGTCATAGTATTCGCTTTCTGGCATGATGACCACGTATCGGCTTTGGCCATTGATTGATTAAAAGGTCTCTGCTTTTGTTACAATAAAATTTTGCTTCCAACACATTTAATAGACCTTAAACTAAAAAACGACAGATGGCAAACTTTACCAGCTATTTTTGAACCGTACGGTTAAGTCGATATAAATATAAGGGTAGGATTATTTACTTTTCAATCTGTTGGGTCTTAGATTTACCCACAGAAATTGATACGTGTGGACCGAAAAGTGGACGTCAGTCTTATTTGGTAAGCTTATTGTTCACTTCGTGTGATCGAAGGGATGCCAGAAATTGGGAACATGGATGAAAATTTAATGCACTCTACTACCTATTTCGGCGTTATCCAATCGGCAAGATAGAGAGGATAAAATATATTTATTAAACATCATGCATAAACGCTTCAACGATTCTCTTCAACCGGGTATACCGGCATTCTACAATTCAAACAACGCACCAATGCCCCACCCAACGGACCACAAATGATTGAGAAGATAATATTCAAATAGGCTAAAAACACTCGCTTTAAGTCCCTACCAATTTGTAAAATGCAATTTAAGGGATTGAAAATCTGTGCTTAATTCAATATAAGTTACCTAAGTGCAATGAAAAAGATTAATGAAATAATTTCATTCAAAACGCTTGTGATTCTAAATAACTTTCTTTGTTAAATAAGTTCTTCTCCCAATGATGGTCGTAAGAAAGACGTTCATCCTGTGGTACTGAAATTAAACTTCAAACATTTAAAATTTAAATTTGAGAATTTGATTTGGTTTTACCAATGGTTTAATAAGTTAAGCGAGTGAAGTGTACAGCGCTATCATGAATAAACAAAGAAACCTCATGCGCACTCAGACTCAAAGGTGCGGTCGTGGACCAATAGACCTCTCAGCCAGCCTCCAATCATTGGTACTTACATGTTTTAACAAACCCTCCATTATACTTGAATGACTAAGCCCTGTGTCAAACACATATTCCACCTAAATGTGCCCTATTGATTGATTGATGAGAATCTTCTGCCATTTGATAAAAATGATTGCCATAAATTTATAATTTATGTTGTTATTTTTTCAAAATATCGCAACTGTAAAAAAAAATTAATTCGAACGTTCATTTACGAGCATCTGAGTTAGCTTTTAATTTTGAAATTTCAATGAATTTATTATTTAGCGACTTAGTGGTTTACGTGAATGGTTGAGATCAAAAGACCGGGGTTCAATGTCCATCAACAGCAAATTTAGGCCAATAAGGGATCTGGCGGATTTTGGGTTTCACGCCATGGAGACTAGATGACACCACGA